CAGTGCCCCGCCGCGGTCGCGCGACCGAGGTCAGTGACCCCGCCGCGGTCACGCGACCGAGGTCAGTGACCTTACGGTAGTATGTATATAATATATATAATATATAATATAAAGTATAACATTATAAATATATAATAAATTATATGTATAATATATATTATGACAGCTAGTACACGTACGACAGTATGACATGAATCGAGAAACACATTATCCGAGAAACGTTACCGAGACGTCCAATCAACGCAGTCTAATTAAACGCAGTGTTATACCGCAAAAGATGTATTAACATAAATAAGAGTATTAAAAATTTTAAAATAATGTATATTTCTTAAAGAAAAAGAAAGAAATTCTGACTTTTATAGCGATGATACAATATAATGATTATTTAGTTCCTTTATATAGTTTTTATTTCTCTTTTCCCTTTTTTCTCTCTTTAATACAGTTTTTAGTTTTGTGTTCATATTGAAAAACAATAAAAGTTACGTTAACAAATATTAATATATTTTATTACGAGAAACCGAGAACTTTTTTGTAAATAGCAGTCGAATACGAACCTGTCGACAAAGTCATGCGGTCGATGACGTATCCACGTACCAACGCATGTGCAAAGAAATATCTCGCGAGTGACCATTGATTCCTGCAACTTTTACCATACGGCGCCACTGTAGGACAACCAAAAACAACGTGGGAACAGTTGATACTCGTATCGCTTTTGGTTGAGCCGGTCGCACATTTGAATTCGGACAAACTCAGAAGTACTCGAAAGTTTCAAAATGATAACCGCGGAAGAAGTCACAATAAGACATTTTAGACTTAAAGTTAATCTATCCAAGTTTTTCCAAGATGCGCGGAAATTCTGCTGGATTTTCATTAACGGAACGAAAATCCGACAGGTTATGCACATAAAACAACACATTAGCTCTGTATTTAACATCACAGAACCGTTTCATTTGTTGTTGAACGACGCAGAATATTTGCCGCCAAATGAAGATGTGCGAATACTTAAGGAAAACGAAACGATTCTGTTAGTATATATTTAATTTCGTTAATACTTTATTAATATATCTTTTTCTCTTAACACAAACTTTCTAAAGCATCTTGATACTAACAGATATTTTGTGCTATTAATTTGCAGAGTAGTCCCAGGTTCAGGTATAGATAACGAGAATGTTAACAAAACTGAGATGCACAATAGATACATAGTTATTGGACAAGATAAGAAAGATCAAACAAGAAACGATCTCAAAGCAGAGATAGTTAATGGTGAAACACCATCATCTCATCATGTGAACACTACAGCATTAAGCCATACCTTGAACAATACACGATTCTCAATAAGTTAGTTCATTTTTAACTTTATCAAGTAACATTGTAAAACTGAATAAAAAGATTAGATTTTAGTTTTTGTTCTTTTTGAAGATAGAAATATATTTAAATTTGTATTTATATTCAAGCTGTTATATTTACTTAGCTGTTATATTTACTTAGCTGTTACATTCCAATTTTCTGACTTGCATATTCATATTGATTATAATCTTATACAACTTGGTTTTTGTACAGATATTGAGATGATACATTAATAAACAATTGATATTTTCATATTTGATGTTCTTTTATTTTATAAACGTGTGTGTGATGATAAATATTGCCTATACCTATTTTAGATAATACTACAGCAGACATGACTTTTTATAGCATGAAGGATGAAACAGTAATTGAGAACCTTGAAGAAAATGATTCTAAATTTTCAGATAATAGTATAATGGAGGATACTCATATGTTAGATGTTTCTAAATCTCTAAAAATAACGTCAAGTTCACAAGGTTTTAATCTGTTTTTATTATATTTCTATATTATATAATATACTGAATATAGACAATAGTTTAAAAATCTTAATTATAACATGATTTAGTAATGAAATTTATGTTTACTTTAGATAACACATATTATACTGAGGATACCGAAGAAGAAGCGGATTCTAAAGATACAGAAGACACTAAAGTGAAAAAGGAAATAAATCTAGGAAACTTTCTTGTTCCAAAAAGAAAACGCGTGCGAAAACGAAAACCAAGAATTCGATCTCAATCGCACATATTACATTCAGATATCAATGATGAGGAAAAGGCAAAGAAGCCGAGAATTATAGACTCTTATATTATTCCCTCTGGAAAACATATTAAATTTAACATAGAAGATGACGAGAATGATGTTGCAAAAAAGATAGTTCAGGAAGTATCGGGAAATGAATCTTCCGTCGGCATTTATAAAGATTTAAAAGATTTCCCGTCCAGAGAAAGTAGTCTTTCGACACTTTTGGCATTAAGACAATGCTCAACACCAAAAACGTATGTTAATAACAAGATAAAAGTAATTAGAGTGGAAAGTTTACCCAATAATGAAATAAAAACCAATATGCCAAATGTAATTAAGATAGAAAATGTTAAGAACGTAGAAAAGAACACTTGTGATAACTCAACTGACAAAGAAATACATAAAGAAAGTTTGAAAGATTCCGAATTTTCTGTGGAAAATTGTCCAGTCATAAGTAGAAAACCACAAGTTGAAGATATTATTGCTTTTAAAGTACGTATCGTTCACACAGATACGTTTTATTTTTTATTGTTTTACTATATAAAATGTTGACTAGATTTTTTGTCATTAAAACCTTAAATTTTATATTTTTTTTATTATTATAGACGTTGAAAATTGGAACAGACTTCACACCACAACTATCCAATTTTATTGTAGCCAAAGTGATGAAATTTTGTGCGCAGTCCTTAACCTATACTCTTAAAATAATTAGTATGTATTTACAATTTATATATATATATATATATATATATATTTGTTAGTAATACAGATAACGTTGTAATTACGGTGTATGAAATTTGCTAATTTATATTATTTTTGTGAACTGATATATTTTGTTTTAGATGGCAAAGAAGAGGTTCAAGTACCGTTTGGAAAATTCTCTGTTTCTGAAGATGAATCTGTGTCGGAAAATGACACAGATACGTTTAAACTTAATTACTCACAGATGCAAGATCTACGTTTAGTTGTGTAATCTTCCGTTTTGTATTTTGTTATTCTGCCATTTTACTTTTCTTTGGCATTTGAAGCGCAACATATTGTTTTTATTTTGTCACGTGGATATTGCATTACGGCTCTATGATAATATTAATCATAATATTAACCACGTTATGTTTTCGTACATCTATTATCACATGATATTTTTAACTTTATACTCTTATGACTTGTATGTGTGATAATTTGATTTGAGTTGATTTTTATTATTAAAAAGTCGTCCAACGTAATTTTTACTTTTGAACTAACTTTTTTGTGATGTTGCGCTTTTATAAAATGGTAGAAATATTATTTCTCTGTTCGTGCGCGTTTGTTCGAGTACGTTTATATTTTCATGTTGGTATAATTATACTGTAAAACATAATAAGAAAAAATATATATATATATGTAATTTTTTTAAACTTATTTGCTTTCTTTCTTAATCATTTATCATTTTAAAATTCCATCTGTTCTCACAAAAATTATATAGTTATGGTGTAAACTAAATATTTTTAAACTTACGCGAAACATTTACAATGGCCAATTTGATTAAACTTCTGTTAATGTGATAACCGATTATTATACGCTTTATCCGCAACTTGTTCTATTTTTAACTATTATTACCACTGTCGGTTAGTTGCTGCTGATGACAACAGAGTAAACTAGCAAAAGAATTATTTGTATCTTTGTGCGATTCAGTGCTAGTCAGTGTACACCAGATGACGCTTCAACACTCATACGCATCACTGGTCCAAGTCATATAACTCTTGATGCTGTACGTTTTTATCAATAAAAAAGATTATGGTCGTTAATCACAGTCTGATATATTAACTTAAGATTGCCCGGTCTTATATTAAGCTTAAGATCGTCTTAAATTTATCTTAAGATGCTGTTAGAGCCGTTTTATTGGCTATAGAGAACATTTCTAGATGAACTTAAGACAATCTTAAATATAAGATCCAACTTATAGATTTTTGCTGTAAAATATATTTTTGTGGCCACAGCCAACTGCTAGAAAGTTTAATGTGCACTTTATACTTAAAAAAAATTACTTTTGTTGAAACTTCTAGAATTTTATTATGAATTGAAATGTGTCGAATTTAAAACTTTTATTACATAATTTAAAAAATCCCGGTTGGTAGGTGTAGTCTCTTGCTTCTCGTAATACTGCACATATCTTTATTTTTTATTATTTGCAATATAATTAACGTAATAATACAAAGTCAGATGCTAGTAAACCTAGCGTGTGTGTAATTGCCATATAATTGATTTCAAGATGGGCTGCAATTTTATCTTATAGATGTATTATACATTATATAATAAAGTAATTTTTACTATGTACGTGAAATATTTTCTCTCTCTCTCTCTCTCTCTCTCTCTCACTTAAATGTTTTATAATAAAATAAATACATTTTTATGTACATAGATTCACTTAAATGGTGTGTAAAACATTACATATATTGACATACTTGTTTTATTTATATTTTTTTTTTATGTTTCTCACCACTTATACAAAGATGCGCAGGATATATTTATAAGAAAATAACACATCCACGTTATATTTTATTATATTTTGATCGTTCTAGAGTTCGAGAGCGACGTACTCGCGCGCCGAAACTATTTTATATTGGCAGAACCTCGAGTACGTACCTACACACAAAATATGTTAACACTTTGTGTGTGTATAATTAAGTATATTCTTTTTTAAATCTTATTATATAATAAAACTCTACATTTTTTTAACAAGGTTTTTATAATTTCTCTTTCAATATTTAAATACTTTTACAACGGAGCATAGAAGGACTAGGAATTTGAATACTAGTTTGACACACATACACACACACATACGCACACACATACACACAGAAGAGGTGTAAATCCGATCGTGCAATCTCAACGTGATACCTTAGATTACGTTAATGTTGGCGATATCGAAATGTCTTCGACATATAGTTATAATATATACGCATATACAAGATCTCATATAATATTATTTCCAACTTCGCGATAATAAAAGACCGAGCTACGCAAAATAAATTCTGAAACGCGATATTGAAATATTTGCACAATAAAACTACGTAAGTACATGAATTCGGAATTATCGATACGTTATTTTATAGTAACACGTTAAAGAGAGTCAAGCAATTATTGTTGGTTCAGTATTGTAGTCACTCCATTGTTCGAATATATAGTCAAAAGACAATATGGAAGAAAGAACGTAGGTTGACGTCATATCATGTTAATGCGTTTGCTACAGTATTACTGTAGAAGTATTATACATATACTACACATGTACGAATACATATATAATACAAATAGTATAGTAACAAAACACATTTTTCTCACACACATTCTGAAGGTATACATATTGATAACTATTATTTTCTTCTAAACAATGTCAAAACTTTTTAATTTGTTTTGCAGAATATATAGAGTATACGCGTGTAGAGATTTTTTTAATTTTAATTTTGTATGTTTTTTTTCTTCGAGTCTTTTTGAACATTATTTTTCTTCTTAACCAATTCATAATATTATTAACTCTGACTTATCTCGTTACCAAAACGTAATTCTATTAATTTGCAATCTCGCATTGGACATGTAGAGCAGATTTATTATAAGTTGTAAAACTTATTTAAATTGATATAATATATATATATCTGCATCTAAATATTGTTTAGATTTACGCTGTGTTCGCGTGTGCAATAATAAAAATCAATTTTTTAAAGTTATTTATTTGATATATTCGAAAAAAAAACCGTTTACGAGACAAATGAAAAGCTTGGTGTTTCTAAATTGGAAACAACTTTTTTGTGTAAACAGAATTTGTGTGTTTATATGTAACTGTGTTAAAAAAATATATTTAAAAAGTTACTTCTAGAAAATTATTCTTTACTTGATTAATCTGTTTAAAATAATATTTGAGATTTCAATAGGTATATCTTTTATATTATCTTTTTATACAGTATATATACGGTGTTTTTTCTGATTACATCAGTTTGTTTACATATTTATAAGAAACTTATTTTTAAACATATAAAAGCAAACACAACACCAAACCGAAAGAAAAGAATTTTGAGAGATTAAGTATGTGTTCTCAAAATTTTAAGAAGACATTTTGTTAATGTACATATAAGATGTCTTCGAATTAGTAGTAAAATCGAGAAAACGCGAGCCGTTTTCTCTACGTAAACCCACCTTGTAATATTGATACGAATAGATTCCAAGTTATCGTGACATTTTTTCACCTAAACTATTTGGACAAGTTCTCTAAATACTATAAATAATTTCTATCAGTAATCTACATTTATATTTATAGTGACAACGAAAAATTCTATCGACTTTGCAAACTACTTACTAACTGTCGTGTGTCACTCCAATAATTTTTTGGATGGCGCCGATTGTTTTTGGTATGCGTGAAATCATTTCAGACAAACTTTTTTTCGATTCTGACCGGGATCTTCGCCTTACGATAGAATGCATGAATTTCGTTTCGATTCGGAACGCTCGCGAATCTGTTGTAAATGTTGCAACTGAGCCGGTGAAGGTACGTGGGTGCCGCTGCTGCGTGAATTCATGTGTTGCGCAGGTGGCAAGGACTGTCGACGGCGTCGTTGCAGAGCCGGACTCAGATTATACTTCAACTTACCTTGAATGAGCAGCTCTTTAAATATTTGAGAGATATTTAGATTCTCTTTCGCCGATACTTCTACAAAACCGTTTTCCCATTTCATCGTAACCAACTCTCTCGTGCTCTCCGAGTCTACCTAAAATGGTTTTTTGATTTTGTGACGTTAAATATCTCGATAAAAATACACAAGTTAAAATATTTACGCATCTATATAGTAAATAATTATTTCAGATTAAATAGTTATATACTATATTAAAAATTTAGATAAATATACGAATAATCATATAAACCATTTTGTCATGTACGCATCAGGATCAATCTGGAAAAAGAAAATTATGTGATCGCAGTCAAAATTCTACCTCTTGTTCCGACTCGACGAGATCAATTTTGTTACCCACGATCACCATTGGGACAGCTCCCTTTGTGCTGAGTATCTGGGCCCTCAGAGTTTTCACTTCGAGAAACGTATTCGAATCATTAACGTCATAGACTATTATGAAAGCGTCGGCCGATTTGATCGACAGATCTCTCATCGCCGGAAACTCGTACGAGCCGGACGTATCCAGAATGTCTAGCGTCAAGTGAATCCCGGAAACGGTAAAATCTGCGTGATGCATCTCCTCAACGGTACGCTTGTACTTCGGAGTGAAGGTATTATAAAGGAATTGATTGATTATCGCGGATTTTCCAACCTTCGCGGCACCCATCACTACGATTTTATGCCGAACAGAGCTCTCAGTTGATTTCCCGCCGCTGTTCGATTCTGTCAGTCTATCGTTTCTGAAATAAACACGCATTTTCGTTAACTCGCGTTTTATTGCGGATATTGCTCTCTCTCTCTCTCTCTTTCTCTTTCTAGAAATTAAATAAACACGACAATGTGCATGTGAGAGATAGCAATTTGACACGCACTCAGCATATATATACACACATATATATATACATATATAATATAACGTATAAAAAATTTGGCAAAAATTATTTGATAATTAATACTAAATCCTTTGTGATTAATTTTTTACAAATAATTTTTAATTACTTTTAAATAGAAAGAGAATGAGAGAGAGAGAGAGAAAGGAAAAATATCTATAATAGGAGTTATGCATTCTGTATGTAATAACACAATACGCTTACATATTTTTTCAACAAAACGACGTGAATGATGCATTGTAAATTACAATGAGAATTATCACGAGAGAGATTGATATTAACGGGAATTGTAGGATAAAACCACTTCTACGCAGCAGAGAAATACTGAGATAGCACATTTCGTTTAAGAGAGACAATAATTCGAGGGAAGGAGAATGCTACGCTAATGAAGGCGATGGCAATACAGAGACGCTTGTTAATGTATATACCGCAGTATTGTATAAGGTGTTCTCTCTCTCTCTCTCTCTCTCTCTCTCTCTCTCTCTCTTCCTCTGTGAATTCGTAGCACTGCCGCGATAGCTCTCTTGTAAAAGCGGCAAGGTCGTGAAGTCGCTTCTGCACTAGATAGCGGCTGGCCTCTAAGTATCTTCTTCATCTTTATAATGATCGGTGCTTATTACACGAACTCGTGATTATCACCAGACCACACAAAACCCGAATAAACGAGACCTTTTTCTTCCCGCGAATGCGTCACGAAATTCACAAGAGTTGAGAAATGGATGAGCAACGATAGGAAAAGTGTGACAAAGAAGAAAATAAAAAATGCGTCGCGCGCACACGTACGTACCCCAGTGGGTTTTACGCTCAAAGCAATTTTTCCGCTCTGTGATTTATAACTTCGGTTACGTGAAGAACGTCTTGTGTCATGGACTTTAAATTTAAAGCGCCAAGCTACTACGAAGAAAATATAGTATCGAAAATCGAACACTTTGCGCACGTGTATATCTGCATATCGCCCAAAAGAGCGCTTCTATTAGGGAAAAGTGGAGGGTTTCTTTCAAAGGGATGAAAGGATTATTTTCGATCCTTTTACGTTGCGTCGCAACACTCTCTTCTTCTTAAGAACTTTTAATAGCACGATCGTAACATAAATAATTACTATAACATGTGTTATATTTTTTTATTAAATATAATATTTACTCCCCTCCCTCTCTCTCTCTCTTTCTCTCTCTTTTTTTGCTGTAAGTTTTTCTATTGTTAAAAGAAATTTGGATGATTTTTGAACAAATAAATTTTGAGCTTTAAAACTTACGCAACGGAGATTCTAAGATTTCTTTTATTTAACAGCTACAGATTCACGTAAATGGAATGATAAATCGTAACTTAACGTTACCTGACATTTTTTGGCGGCCCTTCTTCTTGTTGTTCTTCTTTCATGTGTGCCGAAGGCTGCAAGCTGAAGCGACGGCGAAACTGATGACGGCCTTTCATCATTTGTAATGTGGGATTTCTGAAAAAAAAAAACTATATTTTTCACATATATATAAAAATAACGTCTTAGGTAATATAGAAAAATTACGTTGGTGTAGTTTTATGTGTGTTTTTTTACATTCGTCATCAATATTTCATCTGAAAAAAATCCCAGGCAAGGAAAGGTAATAGAACATATCAAGATAAATGAATTCTGTCATGTCACCAGTTTTACATTCTCATCTAAAAGAAATAGAGCGGGAAAAATATCGACGTGTTTTTTTCACGTTTTTAATACAACGAGATTTTTCCAATGTTAAAGAACGCTATATACAGTGTCTGCGTGTTCTCGGGATGTCCTGCAAAATCATGTGTGCGCATTTCAACAAGTCTGCGGCGCAATATCGCAGAGCGGTACGTCATCCTGTTCGTTATTCCGTACATTTCAAAATTTTGACGCAATCGTATTACTTCGTAACGAAATAGCGTAAAATGTGAGTCAGGGAACTTAGTACCGATATTCAATAGATACGTTATCGGTGTTTATTGATCGCTGTAATTTCCCATTGAGATAAACGATATCTATGCAGTACCACGAACGCAAGTCCGCATATCCTATCTTGGCAAGGAACAAAGGTGATCGATAGGCAACATTCGCGATAACCGCCACGCAACTGAGTGGAAGTGCCGAGCTGATATCATTGAATCCGTTCGTTAACTGAAACTTTTTTTTCCCCAATTGTCAGTGATGACGCATAGATTTGGAGAAAATTCAGAATTTAATACTCAAGTATTTCGCACGGGACGCAATTTACAACTTTATACTTTTACACTTGCTTTAACATCGACTTTTTTTACATAGTTGATAATGTACGGAGGAAGAGTACGCGAAGCAATGCGTTAATGTATTTGAGATAAAACCAAATCAATTATTTTAAGAGCGTTTATTTTTAAATTAGAGATAAGTGCAAAATGTTATTTGAATAAAAATAATGTACTGCCTATATAACGAGCGACTATACATATTGTAATAATCAATTTGTACGTACGTTCTCCATATGTTTAGAATTCAAATAGGGATTAGGGCCGTCAGAGATTTACGTGACATTACCATTGAAATACTCTACTGCTACGCATTAATAATAGACATTAACGAGGGATTTGTCCAAACTGTAAACCTCGCTCCGCGAATATCATTCGTGCGGTGAATATACATAGATACATTTTCGTCTCGCAATTACGCAAAACATAATTACAAAATTACTGAGCATCTTTGTCAGCGACATTGTTTAGCATCACACATCGTGTAAAAACTTATCAATCCAAAATATTTTGCAGCTATTTTAATTTTAATCACTCTATGAATACTTTTATTCTATATATAATCGTATATAAAGATAAAAGTTTTTACATTTTACCAATTTCTAGAACATAATTAATTAATCTTATGCAAAATGAAATTTCTCATAATTTTGTTTTACAGAGATGTAATATAGCGCGCTTAATACTTCATTTGATAAATTAAAACATATTTCCGGTCTAATTACTTTAGTGGTTACGTTATATACAATCTGCGAATTCTCTTTCCCGCTATTGTACAGATGTGAACGATTGTGCGGGTATCGTAAAAACAAGTAGTATTATGCGAAAGTGCGTGATACGTATCGCAGTATCTCGTGGATCGATATTCAACTTATTCTGAAAAGTAATGCGGATGGATATATCGGTTTATAAGCAAAACGTGACGTCAAAACGATATTTCTCACAAATCCCTCATGTATATGTAATATATATATTTCTTAAATAAATAATAGCGTTATGTAATTAAATATACAAATATGTGAGAATAAATGATTTACTTGAAATTACAAATTGTTCACGTTTAGGTGCGTTTAGTGTTTTATATGTAAATTGTTTCTGTAAAATTAGCGCGACAGATTACAAAGTTGTAAAAACCAGGAACATAACGTACGTCCTGATTGTATACTTTAGGGACTGTAAAAGAATAATACAAGTTAATCCTCCAGTTCGAAACAACTTCTTATTTGTCACATGAACCATTACCTGCGGGAATTACGTAGGCGGAACGTGCTTCGAATTTTTTGCTATTTATTGAAGAAACAGCAACATTAATCTCGAAAGGTTAATATAATAAATACTATTTTGTTAACAAATACTTTTAGCGTAATATGCTTTTTTTGCAACAAATAAATGTTTATTTACGAAAATATAGTCCCATTACTTTGTTAACAAAATTAAAGACAAATATCCTCATTATTGTCGACCGAAATTTTGTTGTTGTAGGCGGGAGTCCACCGTTAATTAAGGAAATTGCGAATTTTCTGGAATGCACAATTACGAGCAACATACAAAACTGCTCTTATCAAATGCGGAACTGCGAAGTAATTTCCAGAAAATTGAGACCATTAAAGTGGAACTGATGAATCGACGTAATTTCGACGCGTAATTTTACCGCTTTATAAATAGAAGGAGTTATATATATACATTTATATATATATGTATAAAGTTATATATAAAGTTATATATATGTATAAAACGCATGAATTACTTATTGCTCGTATTGTAGAAAAAAGAATATTATCGAAAACTCTTAAAAGCTTTGCTGTGTTTTATACATTGTACATACATATCACGCATACAAAATGCACGTAACATTTCATTAGAAGTTCACAGCATTAATAACGAATCACCTGATCGGCTTATAAGCGTAGTTTAAACGTAAATGTACAGTGTTAAAAAATGTACATTAATATAATTTTTTTAAATAATACTAAAACTCAAAAAAAGAATAAAATTTCTGCTCCTTTTCGAGTGAACGATGCGAACAGTTACGATTGTTGTAATTCTTCAGAGATAGAAAAAACCGCATATTTCGGAATTATGCTCTAACGCAACATTGAAATTCTCTCAATAAATGTAATAACTCGTATAATATCTTTATATATTCTATAAAATAACAAACCTTTTGTCATTTTAATATTGTGGAAACGCGACGAAAAACAAGGACAGTAATTTCCAACGAAAATGTTTTCGAAACGACATAGTGCTCGCGCGAGAAATGTGTAGTTTATTTCAACAAGTAAGTTAACCCACACACTTGACATCGCAAAATTGTTCACGTTCGCAGAAAGTGTGAAAAAAAAAAATAATAAATTTGTTTTGTGTCTCTTTAGAATAGGCAAAATAAATTTATAGTATTTTATTTGTTTTTATAAATGTTTTTTTAAGTATTTTTTATATACAAACTGTTTTAGCGCGACGTCTACAGGAAACGCACGTCGCGGTACTTTTTAAACTTTTAAAGTTTTGTCAAAAAGAGCAGTTTAAAATAAACAACTATATAATTATATTGCAAAGCAAAATTTTGTGTTATAAAATTTTGTTTCTTACACTCTCGCATCGGTTGCGCAGAGAAATTCGGTCTCTCTTCTCACAGTTCTCATGAAAAAATAATAAATCATATAAACATGTTTTTATATCCGAAAGGTATAAGTTAAATAATTAATGAAGAACCAAGCGAACGAGAAAACATATTTTCTTATCTCTGAGAGAGAGAAGAGAGAGAGAGAGAAATTTTGTTCTAAAAAATCTTTGATACTTTTTCTGAAACTGAGCTGAGCTTCTACATTTACCTTGGAGTCCTTAATTCTAGACTCTTTTTGCCGAGCTCGAGACGTGTGATGAAAACGCGGCATTTCCCCTAGCGTAATACCTTTTCATATCGATAATTTACGAGAGAGAAAATGTCTCACCGGCAGCTACATATAAAGTTAGTTACAGAAAAGGCTTCGGCTTTAACTTTGGATTTAATTTTATGGCAAAATAAAACAAATTCTTTTATCAATTTTCAATATATGGGATTATTTTATTACTCGTGGCGAAATACAATAATAAAAGCGCACTGTAAAAAGAAATTTATTATATACTCTTTTTTTTAGTATATTTTATTATATTATATTTATTATACTATTAGATCGCTAACTATACAGAGCGAGCAATTTTTCACACAATATAGCATAGTCAGTAATTTTTACACGAGTAAGTAAATTCCCACGTACATCTTGTGCAGACAAAATAACAAATTCAAAGTTGATAATAATTAAGCCGAATATGTACACACAAGTTGCGTAGAAATATGACAGCTTGAAGAGAAAATTTTGGTAAATATTCGCACTCTCTGGAGGACTTTACTCCACAGTTTTCACCGCCGGTTCTCGGCCACTAGACCTTGTTTCGCATTCAAAGCACACCGCGGTGTGTACGCAAACCGTACACGTTATCTCATTAACGACGAAACGCAAACGCGTTGTAAACTTGTACATTGCTCTCGGAAAGAAGACCGATGCGGGATCGAAATGAGGCCTTTGACGCCTCGGTAAAAAAAAAAAAAAAAAACAAAGGAGGATGTTTCAGCACCACCTCTCTGCTGGGGGTACGCAACGGGGCGTCAGAGATTAAAAGAAGAAAGGCGAGAAACCAAGAGAAAGAGAAAGCGAGGAAACACGTTGACGATGATAGCGGTTGGTGGTTGTCGTCGTCGCCGTGTAAACTAGATCGGTCGGTGCAATACGACGAAACCCGCCAGCACGGAGCCGGTCATTGCTCTACTTTACACACTCACACACACACGAACATAAACGCAACTTCGATCGCAGTCATCCCCGTGATCGTCCGCACGCCTGATTACTCCGTATCGACGACGTGGCTGTGTGTTTAGTACGAAAGTTCACCACCCTTCCGCACACAATCCACTTACGAGTACGTGCGTGGGATATGAATATTACGGATTTCGAAACGAGGTAGCCACTTCCATTGCCTGAGGTATACACACATGGATATATACATGTGCCGCCTACGCAACAGAACCGCGCGGAAAGCGCCGCGAGCAATTTTGTCGAGATTTTTTAGAATGGATAGAGGAATGGTGGAAATGTCACTCGTTATAATCACGTATAATCTCATTTTCTGATGACGTAAAATAAATAGAGTTTTATCGATTGTATGTGTGTGTGTGCGCAT